CTGGGTCCCCAAAGCCCAATTAGCTGGGGCTTCCCCAGTAATCTAGAGGCACAGTGTAACTCTCGTCTGCCTCCACCCTGGCTATAGTACCATTTCCCAGAGAAAGTCTGCCTCTGCTTCCTGCAGACTCTGCCTCTGGACTTCCCTCCAGCCTAGGGTGCACTGCCAGTCCTCCAACTCTCCAAGCCAACTGGGAGCACACAGGGGCTCGCCAGGCCATGCTCATTCTGAAGCCCAAACCCAGCTCAGGCTACCTCTTTTCCTCTCTGTGCCCCAACATTAGATTAACAGAGCTTTGGGGCATCCAGCGTGCTTGCCCCCAGCCCAAGCCTGTCCCGAATCAGAGCTGTCCTTCTCCACGCCTATGGGGCAGAGGGTGTGCGGGGGAAACAAAGGCGAGTCTTCGGGGTCCAGCTCCTTCCATCCGTGTGTGAGAAAGCGCGTCCTGCAACCCAGCACTAAACAAAGTGGCCTGAAGCATCATCAATAAAATGGCAGCGCATCTGCACACTCATTGATTTCCTTCTCCCAGCTGCTCCGGTCAGCCCTAGCCTTCCATCCTGGCCGGCAAACGGGGGCAACGGGGGAGCAATTCCCGTTCTCCTTCACTCAGCTTCCGTCCACCCCATCCAGTGTCGCCTAGGAACACAGCAGCGGCCACCTTAGCCTGAGCTCGGCCTGCTCGGGGGCTTTGAGACCCTCCCCTGCCTGGGGCTCGGCTCCGGGACTCAAGTGCCGCTGTAGTGGACAAAGCCATCCTAGAGCTGGAGGCCACCAGGCCCACCGATTAGCAACCAAGGACCCTTTTCCTTCATACCCCCACCACCACTTTCCAGGGAATTAAACTCAGACTCAGGCATTACTGGGGATCTTTCAAATGGTTTCAGTTCTAAAGGAGAAACAAAGGAAGAGAGGGGCTGAGGGTCCTGTCCCTGAACCAGGGTCTCCTCGCCTGACCTTTGTCTCTCACAGCCATAACTCACTCTCGATATGAACAATCAACGGAAATACCTTAAAATAAATTCCATCCTCCTGGTGTGGCCTCCAGTCCCATCGGCTAGCTGGCCCAGTACCGCTCCATAAGCACTGAAAACTGCAACCCGCTAGGAGAGCGCTCTCCGGAGAAGGGGAAGGAGAAGGAGGAGGTGGGTGCGTGGGGGGGGGGGGAGAAAGCTCTCTCTCTGTAGAGAATCTACAAAACGTAATCACAGGCAAAGCCGCCCGGGTCTGCGCTCCAAATGCCACAATAATGCGCTGTATTATGTGCTCACGTGGTCATACGTCAACTTAAATCCTTTTATTTGAAATAGGGAATCACTGAAGGAACTAGGTTTCCAAGCAGAACATTTAGCTTTGGGGGAGGGGAGGTGGGAGGCCTTGACCAGCAGGAAGGAAGAGTTTTGTCTAAGGCAGTAGGATGCTGGGGGCATGTGCCCTTCCCCCGCACCCCCACCAACATGTGCCACACAAGGCCAGTTATCTCCAATTCTATTTCTTTGCACTTGGATCCGCACATAAGAAACAGCGATGCTCTCTCCATTCTCAGAGTCCACATAACTTTCCTTACAGTCTTCCGCGCAGGGACCTGCTGAACCCAGCACTCCCAAGCACTGCACTCTCCTCTGGCCAGTACAGCACAAGGCAGGGCTCATGCCCTTTTTTCCAGAAGAAAAGCCAATAATGATTGGCCTAGTCAGTGGACTCCCTCACAGGTCTGCCATTGTATGGAGTTTGCTAACACCCACACCATACACCACAGCCACTGTAGAAATCCAAAAGGCCCATAATTACCTGACAAAAGACTAAAGCACCTCCTCCAGGTCTGGCTGGTTTTGTTTGATAAGAGCCCCTAGTAAAAAGGTGCTCAGCTCTAAAGTGGTGGGTCCGAGTTCTGCTAGAAGGACTCAGTGCCTGGGCCACACCTGCATTTATGCTTTTCCTCTGTGCACAGCGGAATGGTACATGAAATCATAGGCTTCTCATGATAACAAATGTAAGGGGAGACGATTTAATTGTCTCTGCAAGAAGAGGAAATAAAGAACCTTTGCTCACATCCTTTGATTTAACCGACAAGACAACCTGGGACCCTCGCTGTGGACAGGCTTACTCACCCTCCCCAAAGACACCTCTGGCCACCAGCAGAAACTGAACTGGACCGACTCTTCTCGGGAGGAACCTGACCGAAGCGCACATACACACACATTCCTGCCTTCTTCTTGGTGACATTCTCCATATTTCAACACTTCAGCCTCTCAGGAGCTGTCTAAAAAGTTTCTCTTTTCAGGTCGTAGTTTCTGAACTTTGGGAGTGGCCTGAGGTGGTGAGACCCTCATGTCAAATTCTTTTGTTCAGTAAGCTTGGCCTCTCTGGGCATGAGGACTCGCTTGTAGCAGCTGCAGGAGGCTATGCTTGATTCTTCCCCTCCCCTCCTCTCTTCCCCTGCAGGGAAATAGAAGGGGCCTGGTGAGACTGTAAGGCCCTCAGTAAGGGGGCCTGGCCATGGGGTGTCCCAATCAGAATGGCAATAAAAGAGGAGGAGACCTCACCCCTTGGAAATGAGCCCTGGCCTGAGCTGGTGGCAATATTCCAATAAGGCTCTGCCTGTGGAATAGCTGGGGGAGAACCTCTATGTCAACTTTCTCAGTCCTTACTTAAGCCACAAGCTGGAAAGTAAGAACCCAAAGTGAAAACCTGCTTCTCTCAGGTTTGGGGGTAGGGCAGAGGATGGGACCAAACGCTGGTTTTCAAAAAGTACTGCCCAGTACCCCCCAAAACTCAGACCACCACTACACTACCTTCTGCTCCTCTTACCCACCCCCCAATATTTTACACTGAGCTCTCCAGATAGTGTATAAAGGACCTGAAAGTATTGCCCAAGCCCTGGCAAACTCCCCAACCAAAGTTTCTGTGAAGGTTTCAACTCGAAGATGAGAAGGGGCCTTCTGCAGAACTCTCAGAACCGTCTGGAGCAAACAGAAATTCCCAAGGCCATAAATCAACAGGGGAAGTCTTTGGTCGTGCTTCAGAGAAATGCCTTAACGCCAGCAAGGCCCAGAGGCCCCTCAGCTCCAGCCAGGAGCCTCCATGCCCCCATTAACAACCCAGTTAATGCTCCAACTGCTGTTTAACAATTAACATTAAGGACTTGGGGGTAGGAGGGGGTGACTTGGTGGGATATAAAGGAAAAAGCCTGAGGAAATCCAAAGACATCTAACTTTTGAGGTGAAAAGAGCTTTTCTAAGAGAGACCTTGGTCTGGGCAAGTCACCAGGGAGCCAGCAGCTGAGCGTTCTCCTTCACCACTCTGAGGTCTGCTTTCCTGGAGCGAGGCTCTGGGCCTTTCAAACTTCCATCCCGGAGAAGAAAGATGGAGATGCTGGAGCTGCCAGTCCCACTCCATGCGTGCCCCTGGCCCCCAACCTGGCCAGCCGGAGATGGGGATGCACGCCCTGGATCCAGGCCACCAGAGCCAAAATAGGCAGAAAGTTGTCTTGGAAGGAGCGGGTGACTTAGGATACAGAGCTTTAGTCAATATTTGCAAGGCTGTTGGCAGATTAGATATAGCTGTATTCAAACACTGCAATCTGATTTCTCTGTCACAAATACACTTAACATTTTTCTCCCCCAGTTAACTCCAGTGGTTTTTCTACTCACTGTCAGGTTAGGCCCTCCTCACTCACTTTTTTTTTGGTGGAGGTTACACATCATTATTTAACATGAGATATTTCCTGTGGGTGCAACTGCACTACAGATGGACTCCCAGTTCTCTGGACACACGTGAATGTGTATATCACTTTATACACATGGTCTTAAACTCCTGCAACTGTTTATACACTCAATGCTCTGTGTGGGCAGAGATGCAAATCCCACGTGCACCCTGAGTTGCAAATTCCTGAAATGCTCCATCTATACTTGATATACATGGACATACAGTAGCTGAGAAGGTAACCCAACTTTACTATGATTCTGTTTACTTCCCATCGAATAAACTAAGAGTTGTATCCAGAACACCACATCAGCCTTAGAGCGTCACTGAATACATGTTACAATTAATTAGCAACCTGGTATTTATGTGGGGAACAAATTTTAGGGAAGAGCAAGGCCTGGGGAGTGAAAAACAAAATCTCAGAAAACTTTTTAAAAGAAGTAATTCCTCAAAGAAAAAAAGCAAACCCATTGCTTCATACTAACCTTGGGAAAGCTATTCCAGCAGCCCCTCCTCCAAATCAGGCACCAAATTTATGGATCTTTTACAAGGTAATAAACCACAGTAATTACCTCCCTGCATCCCAAACTAAAAGAACAAATTAAGCCAGAACCGGGAAAGAATTTTAAAGAGTTTTCCCCGTGTTCCAAATAGGAAAAGAAAACGCCGAGACACAGAAAACCCGTGTTTTTCCCACGGGAAGAAGAGCCGATCGGCTCGGCTGAAGGGACCTAGAAGCCCCGCTGCCTGTGATGGTCTCCACTTTGGAAAAACAGCCACTTCCCTCACGCCAAGGAAAAGCAAAAGAACGGAATAAGCTGCAAGGCGGCGAGACCACTTTTCTCTACGCAGCGATGGATTAACCACAATTTCCGCGCTCACAGGCTCCGCAGACGCCGCCACCCATGAACAAGGACAGCGGCCCACGCACCCGGTCGCTGCGCCCGTGGGCTCTACCGTCCTTTGCCCTGCTGTTCCATGTGGTAGTTTGTTTCAAACTGACCAGAAGAAACAAGCAGACCCTTCTAACGCCCCCGCCCCCTCAAGCACGTACATCTTTGGTCTCTGCGACCTAGCGCCTCTCCCGCAGGACGCCGGTTTTGCGGGCTCTTTGTCTGCCCGAAGCCCCGCATTCTCGGAGCACGCAGCTAAAAAGATCCCAGCTCCAAAACTCCTCCGAAGTTAAATATTGACCAGAACCTCCTACCAAAGGCTGCAGCTGCCCCCGGGAGAGCAAACTTCTGCCAAAGGCTCACTGCAAAGCCCCAAGCGACGAGTTTGGGCGCAGTGCTTACCTCGAAAGATGTTTAAGACGGAACCCCAAATTGTCTCCAACTCCGGGCGCTCAGTGAATCGCCTTTTCCGGTGTCCAGGCGCTCTGCGGACAAATAAACAGGAGACGGTGAACGGTGACTGCAAAGAAAGGGAGTTGGAGGACCAGAGTTGGAAGCTCGGCCGGTCCGGGCGCCAGAGTGGCCCCCGGGGTGACGCGGACACGGAGGAGTCGCCAGGGCATTCGTCCATGCGGCGCACTCATTGCTCGAAAGGTTCCAGTCTACAAATGGCCTGAAGATGGTGATTTATTTTTGTAAAATAAATACATACTCCATCTCCGCATCCACACTCTTCATTTTCTTTCTTTATATAGAGGGTGGGAAGGGGGGAAGGGGGAAGAAAATGCACGAGGCGGAGCAAGATAGGACGGTGGAAGGTGCTTTGCTCTTGGTGCCCGCTCTGCTCAGAGAGCTCCTCACGCACCTCAACTTGGGGAATGTGAATGCACGCTTTATTTTCTTTTGCTAACAAAGGGAAGCCTTGTCTGGGAGCATTCAATCACGGACTCTCCCGAAACCTCACTAATAGTGTTCATTTCTGTTTGGCGCGAACTCAACCCAGGCTCAGCCCATGGGCCAGGGGCAGCCTTGAGAGGTTTTGTCTTCTGGTTCATTCAAGCCCTGGGCGTCACTTCTCCATCCTAGTGTGCTGGCTGGACTACCGCAGTGCCCAGCCCCTCACAGCAGGCCAGCTACGGCTGCTGGAAATAGGGGTTTCGAAACTGAGAAAGACACAGCCATTGATACCCCATCTAGGGGCCCTATTCAGCCTCAAGTTTCTCAGTGGGTATAAGCCGTTAGATGACCCATAATGCTACCACTTCACCCCTCAAGATATTTGCAATCCTCTTTCTCTCTAACTAGCAAATGGTCAACCAACTTGGGTGGGAGCGGGGAAGACAGTGGGAAAGGGGCAAGAATCGTCCTAGGCAATGGGCTCTGGCTTGGAGAAGTTCTCTGCTGGGCTAGGACTCTGCTGGGTGGATTGTTGCCACAGCCTTGTTCCTGCCTCACTATCGCTTCGCTCAAACCCAAATGCCTTCCCACATTCCAGCGGGCCCCAAACCGGCCTTCAGTGGCTGTCCCACAGCCACTGGATCCTGGTGATTGCGCCAAGAGCGGCTACCAAACAGCTCACAGGTCCCCTGACCCTCAGGCATAAGAGCCCCCTAGCACACTGAACAAGTGGCCACAAACCATCAGCTAGCTGCCCTCTGCCACCACCATGGATCGCAGTCCTCACCCTCCATCAGGCAGTTGCAACTCAGAATCCATGCTGGGCCCCTTTCTTTTGTTCAAATTAGCCCTCTGTGTCCCCAAAGGGAGTGCCCCCTGGCCTGGGGGCACCTGGTGTGACTCTGAGCAATGTGGGGCTTAGCTACACTGCACATTGCCACTCAACTTCACCCCAGAAAAACCCACTATGCCAACGCCCACCACGCCACCCCGACTCAGCGATGCTTAGGAGTATTGTGATTATTATGGTTATTATTATCGTTGCTATTTCCTTATCCCCAAGTCAAATATTCATGCTGCTGTTCCCCATAAATCGTTCAGACTAATGAGTCACAAAGATGTTGCCCAGGTCTCTCCCTCTGCAATGGCTGCCGCCTGTAGCCTCTCTCTGGGAGTTTTTGGCGCTCCCTTGCTCCCTCGCTCGCCCAGCCCGGGTGATTTATGAACACCGGGAAAATTGAACAAAGCCGCGCGCCTGTTCTGTGGTATCTCTGCAACGTTCCCCCGGTGTGAATCAGAACATTACCAACTATCTGCGCATCCGTCCCACTTCATCACCAAAGCCAGAATATGACCGCAGAAAACCCAAGCTCCAACTCACATTTCCCCCGGACACAGCGCGCTCCCCAGACTCGGACTCGCAGAAATCCTACAAAAAAAAAGTCCCGGACCCAGCGTGGGCCCACCAGCTCAGGTCCTTCCTGCTAAAGGGCTCTCTCCTGCCTTCCTGAAGAAGTAAAAAGCCTTTGGAAATAAATCTGAGGGAGTGTGTTTTAAAAAATCAAATAGTAAGTTGGGGGTCTCACTTCTGAGAGATTCATTCCTAGTGAGGCCCTGCCGACTTGGAACCATTCTTGATGATCGGCATTAATTATTTAATGAATCACGTGACCTCAGAGCACAATTTCAATATCTCCATCGAACAGGCACTACACCTTTAGCTGCTGCAACCAGGGCCCTCGGTTGGCTTTTTTAGTTGCTGGGCCTCCAGAACACAGATGCCCTTGCCCAGCTCTGGGGCAAAGAATGCCATGGAAATACCAGGGCGAGCACAGCAGAATTGGTCATTCTGGGACTATGAGAATTGTGGACAGTCGGGTGTCCACTGCTCTCTCAGGCACCCTGCTGTCTGTTCCCTCCTGAGCCCAGAGGTTATCCCACCTATCTCAGCACCCTGGCTGAGGAGATTTGGTTACCTAACCTCCCCAGGACCTTTGATGGCTCATCAGGCAAGAACCCACCTTTCTACCCTGGCAAAGCACACCTCTGGCCCTCCGCATTATGTGTGAACCCAGACTCATCGGTCCATTCCAGACAGAATAACCTTCTGCCAAAGAAACATGCTAGTACACTTATCCCTATTCAAGGTGAGACCAAATCTGCAACTCATGAACATAAAGAACAGGGTGGGGGAGCATTCAGCTGTTTCCTCACCAGGTAAACTGAGTTGGAACCACAGTGACCTCCAGATCTCTTTTACCTGGGATATATTTTTTCAATCAGGGATCTCTTTTAGCTTCAGGAATCAATTCCAGAGAGACTTGGGTCTGGCCTGAAAGGGGGCAGGGATTATTCCATGATTTGGGAGCCTTGTGAATGACAGGGTTCCAAGACAGATATTTCAGATGACAATATTTCACAACAGCCCAAGTAGCTTCCAGAAGCTATCAAAGAGTTAGAGTACAGGTGTCTTCCTCCTCCTATTTTCCCCAGCCCATATGCTTTGAGAGAAGAAGCAGTTAGTCTTGAATCAGTATGTAATATAGAGAAGGGCAACTGCTGGAGGAACAGCTGTTGGGAAGGGCGAGCCTGTGTTCTTCAACATAGGACCTCGGCTAGGGCTGCGGATACCAAGAGGGTGTAAAGAACAGCCTATTATTGCCTGCACAGAATGCATTCATACAGATGGGAAGCCCGGGTTTGCGTCTCTGGATTTTTTTTCTTTCTTTACATTCTAAACAGTGGCTGACCTGTTTCAATGTGAAACGGTTGGAGGGAAGGCAGTAGTGGGTGAGAAACTAAACTTCCAAACTGTGCCAGTCTGTGCCAGTTTGGAAGCTTAGAGGAGCAGGGGAGCAAAGGAGAAAAGGTGATGCCCACCCCATGCGGAGAGATGGGGGGAGGAGGTGGGCACCCAGGGACAGCGGAGTGGAAAGTCAGTGACTCTGTACAGAGTGACTGTACACTCGACTCTGACCCCACACATCTAGGTGATCTCCCCAGGAGCTCCATCCTGGGTATTAAGTGCTCTACTGTGCCTGTCACAGTTGAATTCCTCCTGCAATAAAACACCGGGTATATCGTAGATTTCAGCAAAACTAGGAAAGAGAGCCTGCAAAGTGCCATTTTTCTTCAGGGGGGAGACTGTTAAGTACTTAATTCAAACTGGGACCATTAAAGTGTCTCCTATCCGATTTGGGTTGATTTCAGATGTTGACGAAACTTTTATCTCCCGAGTCACCGCACAGCCCAGCTCTGTGAGGAAAGAGGATGAGTGTGTGTTACAGGAAAGGAGATGGAAAGAAAAAAGAAGAGAGCGTGTGTAAGGGCCATCTTGGTAAAAGAATTATAGAGCTTACACAAAATACTGTCTTTAAGGTCAAGGGTTTGAGGAGCCAGTAGGGTTTTCTTTAAAAAAAAAAAAACAATTAATGAGATAGAAAATTTGTCCTCTGGGTGAACTCTATGGTTGCCCTAGCAAAGGGGAGACAATGCAGGATTTTGAAGTACAAAGTGGGATTTTTCTAAGCTGTTATAACAAGCTCCTTTAAAAGGCCAAATCTGAAACAGACGAGAACACCGAAGAAAGTACACAATCATCTGGATCATTTTGGACAATTTTGACTTGGTAAAACTTACCAATATCTTAATACTCAAGGCAGTTTGGGTAAAAATGCCATTTTGCCCTGGAATATTGGAGGGGGGGAATCTCCATCCTCTCTCTCTTCCTTTCGTGGATGGTCTATAAGACTCCATGAAAGAACATTACTCCTTTTAGCCCCATACAGCCTCCAGAATGCGGCTAATTAATGCCCCCACCCCTCCTTCACTACAGAGGAGAAATATAAGAATTTACCTTAAATGATGACACTCTGCCATGTGAAGTTTTGCAGCTCGACACTCAGTTTCCACCAAGAGCCTAGGCATTTTTTGAGCAGACAGCCAAGATGCTGCGTCTTTGCCCGAGACCACATTATTTGCAAGAAGATCCCTTGCTTCGCCACAGACTTTTCCCAGAGAATGCCTTTCAGAATTGCTGTTGAATTACAAAGAAGTATTTATTGTATGAGGTGATTAATGATTCCTGGGAAAATTGCTATTTTCAGTGTGATCTAATTTTGTTTTACAAATGCGTGTAGCAGAGGAAGGGTTAATAAGTTTCCGCAGCAGTTGCAGCGATTCCAGAAATCCCTGGCACTCCTTGACACCTTATAAAATGCATTTTATGCCAGGTTTGGCCCGACCTGGGAAGAAGGGCACTTGCTTGCCCCTGAGTTTTCTTGGGGAGAGGTGGAGGCCACTCCGAGGCTAGCATCCATCACTTCCCTCTCAGAGCTGGTTTGTACATAGGTAGACAGCTGCTTGCCTTTGCCTGTACCACATACAGAAAGAAGGAAGGACTAGCAGCACTGACCACTGACCACTGGCTAAGGGTTCACCACTGATGAAAAAAATGTGTTTAAACTCCTGTTATTGCAGAGGTAGGTGAGCGCCCCCTCCCATGTCTGCGAAAATTACTACATGAATTAAAAATTGCCTTCATTCAAGGCCAAGTGACAATTCTAATATTCTGGGGCTAGTGTGTGTTGGGGTTTTTTGTACATTGTCCCTTCAGTGACCACCAAGTCTAAATTCTCTTGACTGATTTGCAGATCAGTAAACAAATACTAGGGATATGGACATTGAGAAGCAGATTTTATTTCACCCTTTTGAATTTAGATCTCTAGGTTTGGCAGAAAAATCTGGGAGCATTTGAGGAAAGTGACCCTAGTTCAGAGTTTGGCTTTCTGCCAATTCTGAATACTCCCAGGTCTTCCTTGCTTGGGGAACACTTTGGGGTGTCATTACACTTTTTCTTTCCTTGGAAGAAACTTTGGAGGGTGTACTGAGGAAATTCAGTTTATTATGAAAGCTCTTTTTACAAAAAGAAAGAAAGAAAGATGCAAACAAATAAAAATTCCTAAGCTATAGTTAGTGAGCAGAAACTTAAAAAGAGGGAAGGAACAAAGGCAATCTCAACCCTTTGCACGAACTATTTTTTATCTCCAGGGAAACAGGCAGATTAAGTGTGAAGGTGCAATAAATACCAAAGGGACTACATCTTTCCAAGTGTGTTCAGAGTTCAGCGAGTGGAGCAGCTGCAGGAACTCCTGGGCCCGCAGCACTGCCCGGTTTCACCTTTCATTGCAGGGAAGGACACGTCTCTATGTTTCTACGGCTTACGGAGACTTGAAGCCTGGCAGCCTGGCCAAGTTTGGGGAGAAGAGGAGCCCTCTCAGAGCTCAAGAGGCTTCATGCTCTTTGGAACTTTTCCCACAGTGGGTCAAACTTGACAAGAGTTCAGCTCAAGTTGAACACACTCACACGAATTATACGAGCAGTCAGAATCCAAGTGAACACAACTCAAGCCATCTACAAGAGTCTCACATGCAAGGCCAAACATCTCAATCCAGAGCACTTTTTTTCAAATTAAAAATAGGAAGGACACAGATGTGTTTTAGAGCTTTAATGTTTTTCTTAAACAGTGTTTAATCTTAGCACATGGCTTTCTATGTAGCCACACCACAATTTGTACAGTTGCACATGGGTCTAAATGCACTCCCCTTCCCCCAGGACTGGGCCTCGGGAATAAGACAGCAATATCTCTACAATGATATTTTAAATAAATGCAAAGAAGGGAAACTATGTGTCACATCTACCATTGAGGACTATATATTTTGAGAATTAAATAATCTTGTGAGGTCCACAATGTCTACTCATTCCATTCAAGACAAGCTTGTATGAGCTGCCTTAATGAGACAGGGGAGGTAAGGAAGGTGGGAAAGGGTCTGTTTTCTTCTGCTTGAACAATATACACATCCATGTCCCCAGTCAGCATGGGCTGCCCAGCGGGCCTTCAGCCACCTCTAAAGTATCTGATGCCAAGTGGTCCTTCTGAGGTACCCAAACCTGGCAGCCTTCTTCAGGCCAGCAGGTTGTTCCACCAGCCAGCATCCTGGCCACTGTCCTCTCTTGGGTGGCAACCAGCACACACTCTTACCAGGATAATGTAGTCTTCTTTTTTAAAAAAATTATACTTTTCATCAAACTGGGTTTTGTTTTGGCGTCTGTTATGGTCCAGACAGGGAGAGGTGGATGGGGGAAGGGGCAGAGGAGAGGAGAAGAGCAGGTGAGGGGAAGAAACTGGTCTAGATCTCTGGAATATTATATGGAGGAGGGAACGGGCGTGGAGGTGCCCGGATGGGGATGCGGGTGCGGATGCGGGTGCGGGCTCTGAGTTTGTGCTTTTCCTGGCGGGCCTGCTGAGGCCGAGGCCGAGTTGGAGGATCGCATCTTAGTGTTGGGCAGTTTGTGATCTTTCTTCCACTTCATCCTCCGGTTCTGAAACCAGATCTTGACCTGACGCTCAGACAAGCAGAGCGTGTGGGCGATCTCGATGCGGCGGCGCCGGGTCAGGTAGCGGTTAAAGTGGAATTCCTTCTCCAGCTCCAAGACCTGCTGCCGGGTATAGGCGGTTCGAGAGCGCTTGGGCTCCCCTCCGCTATAACTGGGGTTGACTGAAAGCCCATAACCCCAAGGAGAAAGCCAAAGAGGAGGGAGTGAAAAGAGAGGGAAAGGAGGAGGAGAGATAAGGTGGGGTGGGGAAGAGCAATTGGACATCATCATTATATAATAACCTGACACCAAGTTCACGCAAGACACATAAAACGGCAAAGAAAATGTTTCACAGGCTATTGACAACGGGAAACACCCGAGAGCCATAAAGAATGGTTCTGGGCCTTGGGGCTGAAGAAAAGCTTCAAAGACACATGGCCTGAAGCCTCTGCCAGGGCAATTAAATTTATGGGGGCTATAATTACTGCCCTAACAGTTTGGCGTCTCGTAAATCTCCCGATAAAGGGACCCCGGGTACAAAAGGATTCTCACATTGGGATCAGGCGGCTGGCTGGCGCACATACACCCACATCCCACTGTCGCCCGGGCCAGATGGGGGCTCCCCTCCCGAGGTCCTCTTCCCCTTGTCCTCTCCTCCTGACCCCCGCTCAGACCCTCAGACCCCGGCCGGGCCCCAGCCCACCCTCCCACGCCTCCCCAGCGGCGCCACGTACCGGCGCTGACGTGGATCTTCTTCATCCAGGGGTACACCACCGGCTCCTTGCCCTTCAGGCCCGGCGGGCCCCTGTCGGCCAGAAGCAGCGGGCACGGGGGGGCGCTGCCCCCTGTCGGGACGCCCGAGGTGGCAGGAGCCGCCTCGCAGCGCCGCGGGGGCGCCGGGGGCGCCGCGGGATGCTGCGGGGGAGGTGGCGGCGGGGGCTGCCGCCCGGGCGGCAGGACGTGGCTCGCGTGCAGGCCGTGCGCGGGACCCTTGGCGTGCGCTGGGGGCTGCTCGGGCTGCGGTGGCCGCCCGGGGCTGGCGCCGCCGCGGTAGCCATAAGGGTAGGCGGTGTCGTGCGCAGGGTAGAGCGGGGCCGCGGGGTAGGAGGGCTCGCGGGCGGCCCGTGGCGCGTAGTAGGAGGCGGGGGGCTCGCGGCTGCCGCCCGCGTGGGGGAGCTGGGGCTGCTGCGGCGGCAGGTGCTGGGCCGCGGGCGCTGGGGGATGCTGGTAGCTGGAGCCCCCGCCCGGGCCGCCGTCTCCGCCGCCCGGGCCGCTGTGCTGCGCGTACTCCTCGAAGGGAGGGAACTTGGGCTCGATGTAGTTGGAGTTTATCAAAAACGAGCTCATGGTCATTAATTTGTGAAGTGCAAAAATACTAATTTTTCTCGCGTTGTCGTTTTTCTGGGCTCGCCGAGGCCCCTCCCCCTCCTGCCTCTCGCCCCATCCCCCCGTTTCGTCCGCTCCCTTCCCCTCCCCCGCTGTCAAGCGCCCACCCCTCCCCCTCCCGCCGCCGCCAATGCCACCAAAGTTCGCGCCGCTCCTCCCCCGCCCGCGCCAGCGCTCTGCCCACCCCGCACCCGCACGTGACCCGCCCCCGCCAATGAGTGCGCCGCGCGCGCGGACCCGGATCAGGAAGCGCGCGGGAGGTGATGGATGCTGCTGTCGGGTCCCGGCCGGAGGGAGGGAGTTGGCGCTTTGGTCCCCCAACCCCCCAACTTTGAGTCCCGCTGGGAATTCGGGACCCTCCAGGCTTCAGGTCGTCTAGGACGGCCATGCCGTGCCCTGTGCGTGCCCTGCCCCTGGCCTGGGCCTCAGGGCAGCGGGGCACCGCGGCCCAGCGTTGACCTCGGGCCCAGCCTAGCCTGGACTGGCGTCCTCTGGTGTTCGAGGCCGCCCGGGGCAGGGAATGAGGTTGGGCCAGAGGAAGTATCATCGCTTCCATCCTGGCCCCGGAATAAAGCGAAGGAGACGAACAGACCCATTTTCTCACCAGCTGATCCCCTTCCCCACCTCGTGCCCGCCGCGTCCGCACTGAGTCCCGGCTTTGGGAAGCCGGGAGCCGCGGAGGGTGGGTGGGTGAGCGAGCAGCCGAGAGAAATCAGCCTGCAAATGTCAAGCTAGGCCATTCCGGTATAACCGGACAGGCACTTTTCGTTTCTTCTTTCTTTTAGAGGCAGAATCTGGCTTTGCTGCCTAAGAAAAAATCAGAACCTTCTAATAGCATCTCATTTGATGGAGGTGTTGATGTAAGAGTTAAATACGCTCGCATTTACTAGGTGCGATTGTGACCGAGAAGGTGGTACTAGGGTAGGGGAAAGGACAGCAGCGACGCCTCCACAGAATAAAGCTTTGAAACCAACAACTGCCTATTTCAGAACAATTCCCAAACAAAAACAAGCTGCGGATAGAATAGGCTTTGTGCCCAGTCTGATCGCCGATGGGTCCTTTCTCGCTAAGAATTTTATGTCCTGTCTTTTGGATGCTGCTTTCTCAGACTGCATCTGAGGGTAAAGTTCTATTTATAGACTGTCTGTAATTTCTGAATTGCCTAAAATTGGCATATTAACGATAATAGTGGCTCTGGAAAGGGGAGAGAGGACTATTGCCTGCCATTTGGTAATTGAAATTTGATGGGTAAACTAATTACACCATTATTAACAA